TTAATCAAGGGATGATTTTCATACTACGTAAGGAATGAGAGAATCGAGAAGAAAAATGTTTAAGTCTTATTAACGTCGATGAGATACACTTGAATATGTTTACTTGTTAGATTCTAATACATAAGATGTAAAATTTATTAACATGTTTTTATGAGATTTATGAATGGGAGTGTACGTACGTCAGAAATGGTGGAATCCCGCCATTTTCCGTTCACGTAATTGGAAACTCGTTGCCGTTCGGTTACCGCTCTTTCCACTGAATTTTAAATCGGTTGTACGAAGAAGCAGACACATACGCATGTACAGATGCATGTATACATATGCATAGTTACCTCCTCCTTGCAATTTCCTCCTCTGTCAATGCTTGAGTTACACATTACAAGACACATCCCTTAACGTCTATAATAGTATATATGTGTATAAAAGTCTGTACGACAATAATAATTATATAAAACCGAACCTGGTTCGGGTCAATTGCCAAAAATCTCCATTCGTGATGACCGAACGAAACAGCGTGTTTTTCGATTTCCACGAACCGCACGATTTTAGATCCTCCGATTATTTACACGCGCAAACGTGTTAAACAAATTTCGCGCGGACGATGAGAGAAAAAATTTCCTCAAATTCCGTGACTCATATTTCTTTTCATACGTATTCGTCATTTTCCAAAAAGAAAATTCAGAAGCCGGTACGATAGACGGCGTATGACGATTCCGTCAATGAACGACAAATACGCGACATAAGAAGAATACTGCAAATACAGGATGAAGAAATGTTTTTTTTCTGTTTCTATAGAACACGTTTGATTGCCACAGCGAACATTATTTGACGTAATGGAAGCGAATAAAGAGTGGCTCCAAGAAAATATTGAAATAAATGAATCATAGCAACAGAGGAAATTATACGCCTTACACTGCGTTTAATCACATTTTATCAAGTCGAAAATGTTAGTCATCGTCTTTCTCTTATTTATAGAATTCTCTTTAATAAACGATTTAATTAGTCACACTGGTTCAATGTATTTAATTAATCTCTACTTCTGCTTAATCTATTAAATCCTTATCAGTTCGAGTTCAAGGATTGAGGAAAAGATAAATCGAATAAAGTCAGTAACAATTACTCGGTTATTTTGTAATAATAAACTGTATTATAAATAATAGATATAGCGTATTATTGGCCATACTTATCAAACTACAATTGTTTTTCCCGCATTTTCATTGTGGTACATGAGACTTTGTGTACGTATGCATTTCCTTCATTCTCTCTCTCTCTACATATATATATATATACCTTTCTCTCTCTCTCTCTCTCTCTGTTTAATTTAAACAAAAATTGCTTCAATTTCAGGGAACGAAACTCGTTAGACAAATCTCAAAGAATAATTAATAGAAAATTAAACGAATGGAACCAAAATTAGTTTTACTCAACCGAGTGTTAGTCGATTTCACGTTGATTGGTCAAACGAATTCATCGTTCCTTACAAAAATTGTGTTCAGAGTTATCAGTTTTTATCACCTTCGTGGTCCCATCGTGGATCAAACCGAAATCGTTCGAAAGCAAATTGAATTGTTTGGAAAATGAATGTGATACCTGTTAACACTATTGTTGAACGTTATTTAAGCTTCGAACGACTCCCGTCAGCCTATCAATTGGCTCCCAAGTTGTCGGTTAATTAAATCAATTATTTAGTATGTGCATCGCTGACGTCCCTCTCACACGCACTCTCTTACTTCCATATAATATATATATATTTATAATATACTTTATATATAGAATATCTCCCGCAGAACTTTCTTTATTCCCAACGAGTTTGGGAAGAACCCGCTCATTTTATTTTATCACAAGGAGGATATTAAGTATTAACACACACTTTTACTTGTCACTTTTGATGTACACAACCCCAAGAATATAATGTGCCGTCGGTCTATGTTAAAAATCTGAATGAAAGGCCTGAATCTGTTTTATAGGAAGCTATGTCGAATTAATGGAAATTTTAAGAATCATTATAATTGTGATTGAAATCATTCTATATTCCTGGACTGGAAAGGAAAAGATAATTCTGAACGAACAGACTGGAAGCAAACGATCAATTGAGTAATTAATTAATATAATAATAGTAAATAGAAAAGAATATTATATATTAGAGACGACATTAAACGGTATATATATACATATATGTGTGTATATATATATTTTGCCAGCGTGAAATAACTAAATTTACTCTGAGAGCCAAGAGATCGACCATGAATTCCGCTTTCGCTGGTGCAGAGCGAATCGGCTACGAATAATAATAATAATAATAATAATAATAATAATAATAATAATAATAATAATAATAATAGAGCGTGTATCCGTATAAAATATTCGGTATAAATATATAAATACTTGATTGAAAAAATAAATATATTAAATTAAAAAAATAATAATAGAGGCGTAACGTTATAGGTAAATATTATATTTTTTTATTATTAATATTAATATAGTTTATCTGGTTTCGATTAGTAGTCGAGTCTATAACAGTGGGTTATGTACTTCTTCTAGAAATTAAATTCGCTGCGGGGCGTCCCGGTTCTTCATCAATGGAGAAAACTGTATTTATACCGCGGGGGCTATTATAAATTAAGCAAAGTTCGTTTCGGATGCTTGAAAATGAAGAAGAAATTCGCGTTGCGCTCTATAAATAAATTACGAATATGCAGAGAACGTATGAAGAAAATCCACTTTGCGTTTCATGAATAAGTTATCGTTTTTACGAATGAAAGAATTGAAAAATAAATAGCACTTTGTTAGATGTTACAGGAAATCTACTGTAAAGAGTGTTCAGAATTTAACGCGAAATTTGTGGATTCGATGAACAACAGCAATGATCGTCAGTCAATAAGACCCGTTTAAATCAATTTTTAGTAAATTATTACAAACGGCTGCTGTATGCGATTGATTTTAATTAGAAACTCCTTAAATCCCCATTAAACTCTGAATACCGATCTCAATTAGATTTTCCACTTTGAAATTGAATTTAAAAAATTAATTTTATTTACAGTACTTATGATGATAACGGTGGCAAATAAATTTGATGACAGAGGATGACGATGATACGCGAGAGGAATCGCATTAATCAATGAAGTATAATAAATAGATTTGCAGGAAACGAAAAACAAAGTGAACTGATCAAAGGAAGCAGAACTCGTTCGTCTGTACTTTCCATTATTAAAAAAAAAAGTAGTTCACGTATTAAATAGTCCCAATAACGTTAATTGCACTGATCAACTGAGAAAACTCGCTCTCTCTCTCNTTATTAATAAAAAATAATTATATTAATAGTAATATTAATAAACTAAATCTACAGTAACATTTTTCTTTCAAGTATAAATTAAACGAAAAAAAAATCATCTGTTGTGTTTTGTTTATAAGAATATACCGTGTCTGAGTGTGTATGTGTGTGTGAGTGAGTGAGTGTACGTGCACAGGCTTTGTGTTTACATATGCATATAAATCTATATATACAGTTGATAATTTTATGTATATTCGATTTCTCAAAAACCACGTCATTTAGGCACTTTTTTCGTTTACGTTTTGCTCGTTTCTTTTAGTCTCTCTCTTCTCAAAGATGGCGACGTAATTAAAGAAAAAAAAAGAGCAATCATTTTTCACCTCACCGCATCGAGAATCATGATAATTAAAAGGGAAGCTATTGGGCGTAAACCGGAAAACGACACGGAGCTGAACAACAAATAAAATACATATTACCTTTCGACAATACTCTGGGAATGAAAAATGAATTTCTCTTTTTCATTTCGTAGAAAATAAGATAAGGCAAAGGGAAGCACAGTTCTAAATTATTCGCATCGCCTCTCTCCCTTCCATTATAATCGTTCCGTTTTCTCCCTCCGTCCGTCGCTCGCTAGCGCTATAATATTTTTCTCTCTCTCTCTCAACTTAATTATAATAGTTTATAATATTTCTATTGCAATAGTTACATATCACATTTTCGTTTACGGGAAAGAACAGTGTATAATTATTATTATAATATATATTAGTTATGAAACACAATAATTATCTCTCACACTCTCAACCATTTTCACTATTTTTTTTTTTTATTTTTTTTTTTCAATTTTTCTTGTTTCAGACATTCCAGTTTCATTATTCGTTTGCCAGGGTTCTTTCCGGGGAACACGAGGAAGTCGTTTAATTGTCCCTTATTAAATAAATCCCTCAACGTAAAAATCACATTACGTCCATTTTCAAATTCATTGTTAAAAAGCTTCCAAGTTCGATGATCAAAAGTCTATCATTCGAATTTTACTGCACAAACTCTAAATGATATCTTCTTTTTCAAAGAGTTACGAAATCTTTCTTCTTGCCAATAATCCTCTCTGCCGTTTTATTAAATTTGTACGCTGTTCCAATTTTGATCATAACACTTTTTACTTCTCATAAATTTCAATTAGGATGGAAAAAGAAAAATTATAAATAAAGACCGTGCAAAAGAAAATAAAAACAATGTTGCGTCGATCCGGAGAAAAATAAGCGTTCCTTATCTCCGAGAGGAGAATAAATTAAACTTGAAACCAGTTTGAAAAAAAAAAAAGGAATTCCATTCAATTTTTGCTCCAGAGGGTATGTCTCGTTCGGCAAGAAGAAAAATGAATCTTGAAAAACGAATCTGAAAGCCCGCAACTGGACCGACTCCCCGGCGTTTGTAAAACTGTACACTTCGTGTAACTTATCCGTAAAACTGAAGCACGTACACGTATAAACACGCGTATGCGTTCATATTTTTTTTACACGACGGCAGACCGTAATGATCGCGCAGACACCATAAAACGAACTTTCTCTCATTATCCCTTTCACACGCAATTACTTACACTCTTACTTGCTCTAACAAGTTGGAAGACAAAAATCGTAGTTACAAACGCTTATCTTTAATTCATTTGCTTTGATTTTTTCCTTCTCTCAAATTTCGTTTCGCGCGTCTCAAAAAGATAGATCTCACTTTTTATTTACTTCTTCTTTAAAGACATCATCAAGGATGGAGCTAATAGCCTAATCTATATTAAAATTTGTACCAATTTGTAAAAATTGTTTCTTATTTTAAAAGTTTAGATGATTAATCAGTACAGATATTTAAATGAGACGTTCCGTCGATCACCTATATACTTATATAGTGGCTCTCTTTAATGATTACAAGTCTCTAATTTCATTTCCTGCACACTGAAATTTTTAGATATTGAACAGGCCTACTTTATATTATGTATTCGTTTTCCTTAACGATACTTTTCTCGTAAAGTAGAAACACGCGATGTCCCAAAAGAGTAGAAAAGTAGAAAATAGTATGGTTCCGTTTTCGAAATTATTGCAACGTTTCACCTGCCCCGGAATCGTTCCTTCAATCGCTTTCGCAAAGATCCTTGGATAAACGGATGACGTTCAAAAATTCATCGCACCACATTTGAAATTAAAATGAGTATCAATTAAAGAGAAGATGATTTTTGCATACTTATATAAATTACAAATTAAATTTGTAATTAAAACTTTTATCAGTTAACAAAAATTGCTGTTTTGACAACTTCAATTATTTGAACACGGTACTTTTAGCCCCGTGTTAAAATAACTGGAAGATGTGAATTTCAGACGACAGAAGCTGTAGTTGGAATTTGTGAACGTATTTTAATTGCAAAACGGGCGATCGAAACGAGATTAAGATCGAGATCGAGGTTTGCTTAATTAAGATCGAGATCCAAAAGAGATCAAAGATAAATCCGTAGAAAAATAAGAAACAGCTTGGACCTCTTTCTGTATCAATTCGTTATCTTTATTTCTCGTTCGAATTCCGTTCGCCTCTTGTCCGCGCGTTATCCTTCCGTCTTTTTTAGCCTTGGACGATCCAAGGCTGTCTCAAGGAATTCTCGCAAGCTTAGTAGGAACTATTCCGGGATACGAAATTCTCTATTCGAAAGAGCGTTAAAACTAAATAAAAGAAAAAAGAAGACGGTCTTTCCCTGGTTTTACCTTGAAATCGCGAAAATAATTCTCCAACACTCTTTCCATTGTTAACTGATGGCCAGCGAGTCGTACGTTTCTGTACATAATATTCAGTTTTGAGAGAAATAAATAAGATCACAATTATAGAATCACGATGTGCACTCATTATCTTTATATTGCATTTAGTCATTTCCGAGGGTGTTAAATGCTTTGAGGCTTAATTAGTCCGTGAATTTCATTTATTATTTTCACACTTATGAATAATTAAGGGAATATAAAAATTTGTTAAATTATAAATTGTTTAAGGCTCAATTGCGTCAGTCATAATTTCACGTCCCTCTTATTGGTAATAAAACAACATGAAATTCATCATTGACTGGCGAATCAAGAAAATATCGTCAAACATAATTTCAAGGTAAACCCCGGAATTATTATAAAAAAAAATAACCGAGGCTAGTTGAAACAGTTAATGACGTCAGTTTATCGATAATATTAATAATAGCAATATGATAGCAATAATATTAATAATAATAATAATAATCAATGACGATAATTGAGGATAAAAAAAGGAGGAGACGAGGTGATATGACGTGTATGTCGCATGAACAAGGTAATAATAATATTAAAGATATAAACGCTTTAAATAATAAGCAGAATAGACGCGAGAAAATGCAAATGCTCAATGTTTAAAAAATAATAAGAATTATTATTATATATGAAAACCTCTCTTCGAGTCGGTGGAAGAGTCCGCACAAACCCCTCTCCCTTTTCCTCCTTCTGTCTTTTCGGTTATTATAAATTATCCTGGCTTCCGCAGGCTCTCTATTACTTCCAAGAACCAGTCAACAGATCTTGCAAAGCTCCTTGCAGTTAAGCGAATAAGAAACGATCGTCCTGGGACCTCTCCGATCCCGTAATTGTTCAGAAAAATCTTCAACGCTATTTAACCGGCGAAATGGTTAAAACTGAAGAATTTCCGTTCGGATTGCCAGGGATCTTTCGATAGATTCTCCTGTCTCCTCTATTAACGGCTTAAAATCGGGATTAGGATCTTTAATTTGTGTGGTTAAGAATTTCTATTCTTTAATCCACAATTGAAATCTTGAAGAAATTTTATGTAAAAAAATCTTCCATGTTGATCGACGAAGTTTGTCCTGAACTTTTGAAAGATTCGAGATTCATCGAAGAATCAAGAGATCAGTAATCGAATCTTTGAAACGGAGACGTTGAATTCTCCTCTGTAATTTCCAAGTTCCTCAATACGCAAGTTATTCTAGATTTTCAAATGTCCCTCGAGGGAACCTTAAGGGTCCAAGATCCGTAGATATCCAAATCCGTTCAAATACCTTTGCTACACACGGCACTCCCAAAGGAACGGAGAGTCTATGGAAGCTATATGTTTCTTCGAAACCCGTTTAAATGTTCAAGTTTTCGAAATCGGTGAGGGTGCTGCTGATCCTATTGAATACGGGCAACCTCGACTCAGCGTTAGGCGACATCGGTGAGGGTGTCCTGGGCTCGTCGGAACTAAGAGGGCTGCAAACGCTGTTGGTCCTCGGGCTGGGGCTCTGTCTGGTCGGTAGGATGCCGAAGTCCTGTCCGAAGCTGAACGCGGGTAGCCCCTGCTGGCAGTCATCGCTGAAGAAACTCGCCATGGAGTTGGTGGGGGACTGACTGAGGCTCGACGACGGAGAGATCGAATCGCCGGTGCTGCCCAGCGAGAATGTCGGGCTGAGATTCAACGGTTTAGGCCTGGTAGCGCCTATCACCGAACTGACCGTCGTCGATCCCGTCGTCTGGTGATGGTGGTGATGGTGATGATGGTGGTGGTGATGCTGGCTCGTCAGACTCAACGAGTTCGTCCTGAGCAGCGGCGGCGGGTTGTAAGCGTTACTGTTGCAGAGGCTGAGCGAGTTGGTTCTCATCAAATTCGGAGACGTGGCAGCTACGACTTGCGGCGAGGCGGCGATCTGCTCTAACAGAGTCGGGCTGACGGTGTTGGTCCCGTTCCCCGCCGCCGCAGCGGCCGCGACCGCCGCTGCGCTCAATAACGGGTTCAAGCCCATGATGTTCGGTTGAGTGGAGCCTAGCTGGGCGCTCACTTTCTGATTATGAATCCTTGCTTCCTCGAAATTGTGTATGAAGTGGCAGCGGGGGCCGTACGGGCAGAAGCCGATCGTGTGAAACGTGCGGCACAATTCGGTTTTGTACTTCGGGTGGCGGGCCAGATTGCGCAGCTCGCTGTAACCGTGAGCGAACTGGCATTTGTCGCCGTATTTGCACGTGCCGCTCTCCTCGAACGGTCTGCAAAGTTCGGTTTTGTAGCGCGAGGTCGGCTCGCTGGCGCTTCGATCTAGTTTACGATGCTGCTCGATCAGGGTAGTCACCAGCGAGGTGTAACGGCGGAGGGGCGCGTGTCCCGGGCTATTCCCGGTCGACACTGTGCCTGGACTGCCCCCCGTCGGACTAGTGGCAGAGTCTTTCGACTTCGCGGAAGCTGCATTCTGCAACAAGAATGGAAGACATTTTTATTTTAAATATTCTATGAGAATTCACTTCTATTTATAAACATATAATTATTAAATGAATTTGCACCGAGATGTTTTCTTTTTTAATAACAATTTTGTTATTTCTTATTCTTCTTAAATCGAAGTAAATGGATCAGTGAAAGGGTCTCTTACCTGTTGTTACGAGGTGAACTTAATATCGTTTTTTATTCTCGTTTATTACTCTCCTTCTTCAATCGTAAAATTTTACTACTATTATCATCTAAATCACGCTTTATCTGTTTGTTCAAAGGTTTGTTGAATAACATTACACAGCTGGCAATAAATGGCGAATTCTCTTTAACATGGTACAGTACTTTAAAGTGATAATGAATGACGAATGTGTTTTTTAAAAAAATAGAAATTCGGAATAGAATGGACCGGACAAAGGTTATTATAAGCCGGCCAGGTATAGAGAAAGCTTTGGCAAAGGGTCGAATTCCTGGAAAAGGAAACTACCTGAAATTGACGAAACGTCCCTCTTGAAATAATCAGATCTTACGGTATACCTCTTAAGGGACAGGTAAACAAGCCTGGGTCTGTAATCTCGCCCACTCACAGAATCCTGGGGAACGGTAAAATAGATCTACGGTTCAGGGTTCCCTACACATGAATTTTCGATCCAAACATCCTTTTGCAAGAAGTTCAAACGTAATTCCTCCTTTATATTACTATTCATTCCATTATAGTATATTAAATTCTATAAAAGAGTTGCTTGCAATAAGACTGGAATACCTTCTATATAAAAACGAACGGTACTTCTGCACTTCTAAATTCAATGAATCATAAAACTAGACAATAATAGTAAGTTTAATCTATTGACTTGAAAAACAAAAGAAAGAGCTCCACGAAGTTACTATTTATTACAATAGCAATATTATAGTTTCGAAATTGATTGAAAGATCCTTATCGATTTGAAACGTATCGCAGCAAAAAGCAACAGGTAATCTAAGATTAATGCTAAAATCGAGCCGCGTTTTCCTTATTGTTAGATCACGTAGCGTGCCAGTAAACGTACATAGGAAACTCGACTCTCGCATTGAAATCTCACCTACGCGCGTACACATCCACAGGTATGTACACTATTTATGCCTGGAAACTTCCATGATCACACGTTTTCAAATGTACATACGTGATGCATCCACGTATAGGTGTTACATGTATTTGCTTAATTAGTCTGCCAGGTATCAACTGCAAAGCACATATACATATACACGTACACGTATATTAGCTGACTCAAATAAATTGAAGGAAGCGTGGATGTGTTTGTGCGAGATATACTGAAATCATCAACTTCCAATTGACTTGTTTATCGCTTCTAATATGAATATTACATATACAGTCACGTGTACGTTCATTGTTATTAGTGTGTGTGTGTGTGGATAGACAGACTATCGTTCCATGAGTATAAAACTAATTTTGCAATATACATATGTAAATTCTGTACATAGAACCTATGAATTATTCAATAGTATGTTATTATAATAAAAAAATTTCTTATGTTACAAGTAATGTATCCTATCCCCAGTGCGAAATTAAAAATGTATTAGGGTCAATGATTCTTCATTACTCAACTTCGTCCATTATGAATTTATTTCATAACAAAGTGTCTATTTTAATCACTTAGAAACCGATTTGTTCTAACTAAAACCAGGATAATTACTTTCGATCCGGGTTACAGTTTGCTAAGTGCTCGGTCCTTTTAATACTGATACCTCGGTATTTATTCTTACGTCAGTTTGAAAATCTTTAAATCGTCTGCACGTGGAATAATTCTACCATACGTGGCCACGATAAAATGTATATAAATCTTTCTGATAATTAGAATGACGCTATTTACTTATCTCTTTTCTTCTTTTATTCTTTTGTTCATCCTTTTAAAGAAACTTGCGATTTCAACAGAAATGAAATAGAGAATCTTTTATTTTGAGGAGCGTAAAATTTAAACGAGTTTAAGAAAGTGAAGCAATTTTAATAAAGAAAAATCTGTAGAACTCCTAACACTGAATCCTGATAAAATTCATAATAGAATTAATTACGATGACATAATGTAAAAAATTGAAATCGAATTTCATGTGAGTTGACCAAACTATTGGCTGGCCATGCACGTATTTCGCTACGTCATCGAACAGCAACGCTGGTCTCTTTTTTATCGCGTTCACGTGACCATTCCCGATGTCACGATATTACGTCGTGTACGTACAATAATTGTCGATCTTTGTTAGTTGCTGAAGTATGCCAGGTCAATTTGTCGTTAAGAAAACCAGTACCGACGCAAAAACGGCGAAGCGAGGTTAAATAGAAGGGACCGTGCGCTATTTAGTTTTGCGCCCAGACTAAAGCCTGAGACACTTCCCATTTCGACGATTTCTCGTTCAGATAAGACAGCTTTACGTTCGAGATCTCTAGCAAAAATTGACGCACTTCCGGTGTACGTTTTATAGAGAACGATATCAATTTAAAAAAATTGTTATCACCGTGACTAGCATGCAACGTTTGATATTTAAATGAATAAAATTTCTAGTTTGATTATAAGGTTTCAAGTCGAAACTGATTGGTTGCACCGTTTCATTTGGGAAATGAATCACACGAGTCATGACTGTACCCTGACATTTAAATTTTTTCAGGTGCGCAAGACACGGAGCTGATTAGTTTGACTACTGAATAGGTAACCGAACGGGTTTCTTTTTTTTTTTCTTTGCTTCTTTCGCCAAGACGAAACGAAGATAATAAACCGAGGAACGAGTCGAGGCAAACGAACGTTTCGCTTTCCGACGCAGAAGAGCGTGTCGCCCCTTTCCTTTCCTTTCCGAGTTTCTTTCTCTCTCGTTCGGTTCTGTCTCTTGGTTTTTCCCTTTGTCGAGACCGTGCACTCACTATAGCGCGGCCTCTTGCCACCCAGTGATTGTAAAACGCGATGACTAACGTGCAAGCAAGTATTATACGCAAGTGAGTTAAGTACGATTCAGTCCCGATACCGCGACGCGACGTGGAAAAGATGGCGACCGTGTAAAAACCGGATCCCAGCTTTCAGAACCGATTCGCCTTCTTTTCTTCATCCATCTCACTGCCCTCAACGATCCTTTGTCTTTTTTCTCAGATAGACAGCAAACCTGAATGCAGATTACTGATTTCATTCAGAACAACCTTTGAAGTTTATTCAACAATAAAAAGTCATACTAGTATTGCAGATTTTCTTATATTCCTATGAAGCAATTATGTAGCTTGCACATTTAATTATAATACTTAGCAAGTGAATTTTAATTTTTTCAACCAAAGTAAAATCGAAGAACAAGACTTCCTTCGATTTTTGACCTTGCCAATCTTTGTATTGCATTCTCCCGAACCTGGTTGTGAGCGAAGCTTAAACGCAAGGTGCAACCAATCTCTTTTGTATCCAGTTTCTTTTCAGAATATGGGAATACATTTTTTGCACGCGAAACCACAAAGGAGCGCATGATAAAAAGAATATATAAAAAGACTGCTCCTTGTGCAAAACGAACCTCTGCACTTTTTCTTAACGAACGAATTTCTTCAATATTAAAAACGATTCACTTAATCAATTAATATCAT